GGGGTCCCTGGGGGCGCCCCTTGTCTGTTTTAGGGGCCCCCCTTGTCTGTCTTGGGGTTCCCAGGGGCGCCCCTCATTATGGGGGACCCAGGGGCGCCCCTCGTCTGTCTTGGGGTCCCCGGGGGCACCCCTCGTCTGTCCTGGGGGTCCCCGGGGGCGCCCCTCCTTGTCTTGGGGTTACCAGGGGGCTCCCCTTGTCCATCTTGGGGATCCCCAGGGGCATCCCTCGTTATGGGTGTTCCTGGGGGCGCCTCCTGTCCGTCTTTGGGGTCCCTACGGGCGCCCCTTGTCTGTCTTGAAGGGTCCCCGGAGGTGCCCCTTGTCTTGGGGGTCCCCTGGGGGCGCCCCATGTCTATCTTGGGGGTTCCCCGGGGGCGCCCCTCGTCTGTCTTGGGGGTTCCCTGGGGGCGCTCCTTGTCTGTTTACGGGGTTCCCAGGGGCGCCCCTTGTCTGTCTTGGGGATCCCCAGGGTCACAACTTATTGTGGTGGCCCCCGGGGGCGCCCCTCATCCATCTTTGGAGTCCCTAGGGGTGCCCCTTGTCTTGGGGGTCCCCAGGGGCGCCCCTCGTTATGGGGATTCCCGGGGGCACCTCTGGTCTGTTTATGGGGTTCCCGGGGGCGCCCCTTGTATGTCTTGGGGGTCAACGAGGGTGACCCTTCTGTCTTGGGGGTCCCAAGGGGCGCCTCTCGTTATGGTAGTCCCGGGGGCGCCCCTTGTCTGTTTTGGCGGTTCCCAGGGGCACCCCTTGTCTTGGGGGTTCTCGGGGGCAACTCTTGTCTGTTTTGGGGATTCCCGGGGACGCCCATATCTTGGGGGTTCCTGGGGGCGCCCTATGTCTTGGGGTCCCCGGGGACACCCCTTGTTTGTCTTGGGTTCCCCAGAGGTGACCCTCGTCTTGGGAGTCCCTGGGGGTGCCCCTGGCCCGTCCTTGGGGATCCCCAGGGGCACCCCTCATTACAGGGGTCCCCAGGGGTGTCCCTTGTCTGTCTCGGGGGTCGCTAGGGGCGCCCCTTGTCGCTTTTGTTGGTTCCCAGGGGACCTCCCTCGTTCTGGGGGTTCCCAGGGCGCCCCTTGTCCGTCTTTGTGGATCCCTGGGGGCGCCCCTCGTCTGTCTTGGGGGTTCCCCTTGTCCATCTTTGGGGTTCCCAGGGGGGCCCCTCGTCTGTCTTGGGGGTTCCCCGGGGGCGCCCCTTGTCCATCTTGGGGGTCCCCTGGGGCGCCCCTTGTCTGTCTTTGGATATCCTCGGGGCACCACTTGTCTGTCTTGGGGGTTCCCCGGGGGCGCCCCTCGTCTGTCTTTGGGGTCCCCAGGGGCGCCCCTTCTGTATTTGGGGGTCCCAAGGGGCGCCTCTCGTTATGGGAGTCCCAGGGTGCCCCTTGTCTGTTTTGGGGGTTCCCAGGGATGCCCCTTTTCTGTCTTGGGGTCCCCAGAGGTGACCCTCGTCTTGGGAGTCCCTGGAGGTGCCCCTGGTCCATCTTTGGTGATCCCCGGGGCGCCCCTTGTCTGTCTTTGGGGTCCCCCTTGTCCGACTTTGGGGTCCCTAGGGTCGCCCCTTGTGTCTTGGGGTCCGCAGAGGTGACCCTCATCTTGGGGGTCCCCGGGTGTGCCCCTTGACTATATTGGGGGTTCCCAGGGATGCCCCTTGTCTATTTTGGGGGTCCCCAGGGGCGCCCCTTGTTTTGGGGGTTCCCAGGGACACCCCATATTTTGGGGGTTACTGTGGGCACCTCTTGTCTGTCTTGGGGTCCCCAGAGGTGACCCTCGTCTTGGGAGTACCTGGGGGCGCCCATGGTCCGTCTTTGGGGGTCCCCAGGGGCACCGCTCGTTATGGGGGCCCCCGGGGGCGCCCCTTATCTGTCTTGGGAGTCACTAGGGGCGCCCCTTGTCGCTTTTGTTGGTTCCCAGGGGGGCGTCCCTCGTTCCGGGGGTTCTTAGGGGCACCCCTTGTCTTCCCTTGGGGGGGGTCCCCAAGAGCGGCCTTTCGGGGTGCCGCGACATGCCCCGCCCGCAGCCACTCGATCGCTTCATTGCAAACAACCGCCCGCGGGACCCGGTGTCGCCGGCGCTCAAAGTCACCCGGCCGCTATTTCCGCATCTACTGTTAACACGGGGAGCGAATAGGCGGAAAAGGGCGGCGCTTTTCCTATTTTATTTTACTTTTTGAGACAGGGTGTCACTCTGTCGCCCGGGCTACAGTGTCCTGGCGTCAGCCTCGCTCACAGCAGCCTCCGACTCCTGGCCTCCAGCGA